CTTTTTTTATAATATCGAACACTTTTTGGTTTGTTATATTTAAAAAAATATGTAAAAATATAAAATGTTCATGAAATATATATTAATATACATGAAATTATTTTGCTTAAAATAATTTATTCTTTATAATTCCAGGGTATATTTCAATAAATGGACCCACATCCGCATCTGTCAAGCTCTTACATTACAAAAACACCACTTAAAATATCATAAAAATCATGTCCTCTATATTTATAAGTGGTTTGCAATTATTGTCCTATTTCAAAGTGCAGAAAAAACCTAAATACTTTGTATAAATGCTTAAATACTGAATACTTAAATACTTTTACCAGATACAATATATAAACAGTGAAATAAACATATGTCTTGTTTTTCTGAAAAATGTATGAAAATGAAGTGAATTCATGCTTAAAACAAGCACAAATCTGCCAATGAGCTCAGAAAAATCCATTTTTGACCATAAACTTCATCTGAATACATTTTTATATTACACATCTTGAATCATTTAGCATCTCAACTAAATGTGTCTTTATTTAAATATGTATACGCAAAAATAATACAACACTACTAAGAAAAGGAATGATGAAATGATAACGAAGCATCTTAAAGACATGAAGACATAAGGTAAATGTGCTATAGAGCTGAATATTTCAGCTCTGAATATTGAATTTAGACGCCGAGGGCTCAGAAATGAAGAGAAATGGTGGAGATGCTTTTAGTGACCGCACCGTTTACATAGCAGAGAGCTAAAATATCTAAGCAAGACCCTAAAACGCATACTCATGCACACTACACGCTAACTGTACATGCCAAAGACTCAAAAACACACACACACATATGGGAACACACAGTCTGTGTATTTACAGAAGATTTCCATGAGGTTTGGGTTCTGCTTCAGTGTGTTTAGAAGCCTGTGGTGTGTGTTCTGCTTAAATCCAACCTGTGTTCACTGTTTGCTCTGTTTATTCACTTGCTTTGCTTCTCGTTTAGTCAGCAAAATATAAATATAACGCAAGCATTGTAATTCGCTATATCAGATGATCAGATGTCAAACCTGGCACTACACTGTTAAAAGAGTTAGTGATTTCAATGGTAAAAATGCTACGGTAAAAATCTGTAACCTGTTTAACAATACGTTTTTTAATATATATGGTTAATAACCATGTATTGATTTTTCCCAGAATTCTCAGCACTTTTAATGCTTTTTTTGTTGACATTACTATGGTTCCCTAAAGGTTTTTCTCTTGAGTTATGCACATTGGAGTTTGTCAGGATGGATGGTAAACGCCATTTTTAGTTCTCTCCAAAAATGCTCAATTGGGTTTAAGCCAGGGCTCTGGCTGGGCCAACTCATGGAGTTGTTGTGAAGCCACTCCTTCGTTATTTTAGCTTCAAACCAATTGTTTTTCTTTCAATATGTGGTGCTGTGTGTACATTAACAAGAAGAAAAAACTATTTTAGCAAATGGCTGCAATATAACAAAGAGTGAAAATTTTAAGGAGGTCTGAATACTTTCCGCACCCACTGTATGTTGCATCTAATGTTGATAAATAATGTTTATTGCATACTTTAATTTTATGTGTGTTGTCATGTTTAGTGGTTATGGGAGTGACACTGAGCACCTTTTATATATTCATAGGATTGTTCTCTGTGGGAAATTTCATTGGTTCCGAATTTCTTATTCACACATGCTTATGGTTGTGTTTTTGTCTGCGTAGCAAAGTTGCAAGATCAGCGGTTTTAACCAAGCTGATCCAATGGTAATTTACATCTTACGCTGTATCTTACGTGGCAGCAATGCACCATAACGCTCCTCCTTTTTTAGACCAGAAACGCCCATGGTCGCACATATGAGCGCAAATGCATTTGCTATTTAAACAGCGTGATACAACATGCCAAAACGACTCTTGCGCTGAGCTGAAACTAGCAAACAACAATTTTGTCGCACCTTGTGCCGGGTGTATGAGAGGGCCCAAAATCTTTAGGTCTCCTGTAGCCATCCATATGGAGTTAAGCACTGCCCGTAGCATTTGTTCTAAAAACAAAATGCAGCCATATATACCCACAAGCACATATTTCGCGGCTCCCAAAAATGTAGCCCTGGGCACATTTTCCCAATGAGCTTGTGTTGTGTATATGTGACCTCAGTGGGTTTTGAAGAGATTGAGCACTTGATGTACTCCAGCTCTCTCTTTTTCCCTTCTGCCACACACACACACACCGACACACACCGACACACACACACACACACACACACACAAACACACACACAAACACACACACACACACACACACACCGACACACACCCACCCACCTCTGGCCTTCTTTCTGCCCCTGACAGCTCCTCAGGGGCAGGTGACGGCCTCCGCTGAGCCCTGGCCGTCCTGACCGATTCCACAGATGGAGCGTGCAAATCACTGCAACAAAGACTGAGAGAACCAGAAAACACACACACAGAGACGACCCAATAAATCAAAGTGTGCAGAATAAAAATAAAATAAGTATAAATCTGCTTTAATTGCAGTGCAGTTACCAGATTCTCCAATTCAACATGTGTTGCGTGAGGAATTCCAGTTTTCCACATGGTTCCTGTAGCCAAATCCCTGTGAAATTGTAGGAATTTTCCCATAGTTCTCTTTGTGTCCTCATAGGTTCTGTTTGAAACAAAACAAAATATGTTTTGGTTTATCAATCAACTAACATTTATTTTAAATAAATATTTCTCTTTTCTGGTAACTCTTTATAATTTTGTTCTTTTAGTTAGTGTATTTACTTAAATTACACAACGAATTGATTATGAAATTTGTTGCCAACACTTTTAGTAATCGATTTTTATTTATGTAATCGATTCGTTGTTTTAACCCTCCCTCATACTTCAATTTCTTAACAATTCAAATGCTATCTAGTGTCTGACATGCCCCACCTCCTCCAAGTGGGCTTCACAGTTGATGCGCTCGAGCTCAACCACTCTCACTGGCAGATCTTTGAGAAAAACTAAACGCTATTGGCTGTTTTTTTAAAGGGGAGGGGCTACATTATACCCCCCTCTCTTTATATTTTAATTGAGATTACGCACTTAAATGGGACCTTTGATGTTACGGTTATCCAAAACATCACCTTATTCTTGCATTCTTTCAGAAATGCTACACTAACAATTAGGGCTGTGTATTGGTAAGGGCCTCACGATACGATACATATCACGATACATGGGTCACGATACAATATATCATGATATATTGCGATACAATAAATATTGTAATATATTGAAATAGTTTGTATTAGTATGTGTGTTGTGTTATATTGACAACTTGATAAAGTCAGCAGACGAATTAAAATTCCAACTCCAATTTATTTTCTATCCATTTCAGTTTATCAGAACTGCACAGTGTTATTGAACAGAGAACTCACTGAACTGTATTAAATGCATTTTTTATATTAAACACTGAACTAAAATGAATATGCCACTGAAGTCACATATAAATGAAATAATTTATAAAACTAAAGCAAGTAAAAAAAATTTAAATGCATCAAGTAAACAAAACTGGAACACAGTGCTCTAATATGCGGTAAACTATTGGAAACTGACAGTGCGATTGACAGCATTGTGAACATTTTGCTTTGAAAACTGGTCGCACATAGGTAAACTGATGGCATGCACGAAACATTTTACATGCAACATGCCGGCCAGCTGTGCTGCCAAGGTCATGTTTGACGCGTTGTCTGTTACAACGACAAGTCCTTCCATTTGATGTCCCATTCCTCCTATGCAGTTTTCAGTAACTGCAATGTTAGATAAGGCAGACGGTAGCTTTCCACCACTCACTTTGCTTCCTTCTGATACCATACTATTTAGCATTTTGTTGATAGCGGGTTAGCGACATCTACTAGAGCAAAGGAGGAGGTTGTTTGGCACAACTTGAATCGATACTTCAGGTTGAACTATCGATACACTATCGTGAAAGAAATTATCGCGATAGTTCGAATATCGATACTTTTGCACTGCCCTACTAACAATCAGAAAAAGCTGCGGAAACATGTTTGTTTGGAAGTTTTTTGAGTAATACTTTACTCTTTCACAACAAAGAATTTTTTTTTTCATTCTGATCAATTGTTATTCAGTTCGGCACAGTGGCTCAGTGATTAGCACTATTGCCTCACAGCAAGAAGGTTGCTGGTTCGAGCCCTGGCTGGGTCAGTTGGCGTTTCTGTGTGGAGTTTTGCATGTTCACTAATTGTGTCCAGAGACATGCGCTATAGGTGAATTAAGCTAATTAGCCATAGTCTATGTGTGTGTGTGTGTGTGAATGCAAGAATGTATGGATGTTTCCCAGTGCTGGGTTGTGGCTGGAAGGGCATCCGCTGTGTAAAACATGTGCTGGATAAGTTGGAGGTTCATTCCGAATTGTCATTCATTTTATATAACACAAATGCTCTTAATAACAATGTGTGTGTTTGGAAATGTAAAGACATGTTATCAAGCATTCATACAATTAAAAAATATGAAAAAATATAAAAAAAAATATTAAACAAATATTCAAACCCTATCTATTAAATCCACTTAATTCAGTTTAAATCCAAACAGAATTTTCAAGGGGTCTCTTAATTATTGTATAATTAATTTTACTTTTGACCTTATTCCTAATGCAATAGCAGATGCAGACAACATTTAGCTCTAGATTTCCAGTCTCACTCGCTTTATAGATTTTTAGCTGTAAAAAACTGCATGTTATGCTGATTGATGTTTCTTAATACATGATTTGTGTATTATTTTTTATGTACTGTCTTAAATATATGTGTTATGTCTTATATTATAGCAAGTAGTATGACTGTTGTATGAACTCATTTGTTATACCCAAACATTTCTCCCATAGGCAAGTGAATCAGAAGTCCTAAAACTAATCGCAGAAAAGAGCTTACTTCAACACTGCAGAATAAGATCAATAGCCAACCCAACACATGAATAAGGTGAATAGCCAACACTTGTGTTTGTATGTTTCAGCGAGTCCATCAGACGAAGGCTCTGAAGTGGAATCTGAGCCTGATCTGCCACTGAAAAGGAAACAGCGGCGCAGTCGAACCACATTTACAGCCGATCAGCTGGAGGAGCTGGAAAGAGCTTTCGAGCGCACACATTACCCTGATATTTACACCAGAGAAGAGCTCGCACAGAGAGCCAAACTCACAGAGGCACGAGTACAGGTACATCCGCACCCATATATACCTTAAATTGCAAAAATGCAGACAGACAAAAAAATGAAATATGTTCATTATTAGGATTGAAGATTACATTCAGTGTGGTGAAAAAACTATTTGATAGCAATAAGGTGACTTCTTGAAAAAGAAAAGAAATAAAACAGTTCGATTGAACTCTTTTGCTCACTTTTTCAGGTGTGGTTCAGCAACAGACGAGCTCGTTGGAGGAAACAAGCGGGAGCCAATCAGCTGATGGCGTTTAATCACCTGATCCCTGGTGGTTTTTCACATCATGCCATGTCGAGTCTGTCCCCGTATCAGCTATCAGAGAGCCCGTATCCACCCGCTGCCCTTCCTCAAGGTACAGTTGAAGTGAGAATTATTAGCCCTTCTGTGATTGGTTTTCTTTTGCAAATTTTTCCCAAATTATGTTTAACAGAGCAAGGCATTCTTCACAGCATTTCCTATAATATTTTTTTATTCTGGAGAAAGTCTTATTTATTTTATTTTGGCTAGAATAAAAGCAGTTAAAAAAAATTAAAGTCAATATTATTAGCCCTCTTAAGCATTTTTGTTCAGATTGTCTACAGATCACTGTTAAAGAATGACTTTAAGGGCGCTACTTTAACGATCTTGGCGTAAAGTTCAAATCGCAGGGCGCAATAGCATTAAGGGCGTGTCCTAATCCACTTTTGCTACTTTAAGGAAAGAAAATCCATTTCGCGCTGCGGTGCATGGTCTAACAGGGTTGAGCTTATTCTCTTAATTAGTTATAGGTGTTTTATGAATAAACCAATCCGAGTCTCATCTTACATTCTTTTTAAGAGTCAGTTGTGGAACGCCATAGTGCATTTGATATTTACATGACGGACTTTGTAAGTGGAAAAACTGAACGCTTCACTAGCAAGAAAACAGTTAAACAGAGCATCTGTAGCGCGAGAATGAAAGATGAGCCTCCTTATTGTTTACTTTGACTTTTACTCTCTTCCGTGGATAAAGAAACGTGTTGTACGCACAGACATCCATTAGCCTATACATAATTAATTTTGTTTGTTAAACACAAAGATTTGTTTCTAAACTATTTCTAAATTCAGTTCTAATTTCCAGCAAACGAATAAATGAACAATAATAACGAAATGTGCTTAAAAAAGTTATTTCCAAATGCACATGCTGTGCCCCATATGGTCTAAAACCTGACAGGTGAACAAATCTAAGCTTGTTTTGAATAAAATAAATATAAATATGCAGATAATAAAAAATACTGCTAATAATAACATTATACAAAAGCAAATGGTCATGAATTAACTGGAAAAGTCCCCGAGATGAAGAAGGCATAGAGGCGTTGGTTTTTATATTTTTGTAGAAAATAATAATTTTTGTAATATTTTAACCCTTTAATTCTTTTTTATTTGTAAAGTTATTTGCGTATTGCTGTACACCCTGTGTGTATTAAGCAATGTTTAAGGGTGGCGCACAACTAACGCACTCTGCGCTGGACTTTAGACCTCCTCTTAGCTGGTCTATTGAGCGGTCTATTTTAGATCCTCAAAATAGCAACGCGCCAGCAATGTGCCTTAACACACCTCCTTTTTAGACTAGAACACCTAAGGGGGCACATATGAGCGCGAATGCATTTGCTATTTAAACAGCGTGGTGCAACACGTCAAAACGACACTTGCGTCAAGCTGAAACTAGCAAACAACAATTGTTTCGCACCTTGCGCCGGGTGTATGATAGGGCCCAAAATGTCTCTTTAAGCAGAATACTAGTATCATGAAAAACATCTATGTATATCAATCAAATATTATGTACTGTCATCTTTTCAAAGATAAAATAAATCAGTTATTAGAAATGAGTTATTAAAACTATTATGTTTAGAAACGTGTTGAAAACATCTCTACGTTAAACAGAAATTGGGGAATAAAATATACAGGGGTGCTAATAATTCAACTGTAAACATCAGACATTTAAATACAGTTTCATTCATAAAATTCATACTTTTTGAAAGCATCAATTAATTTTAGGTGATTCTAATTTATTTCTTAATGCCTAAAATTGAAAGTCATGACTTTTATTTCATTTTTAAGCTAATATACTAACTAATAAAGTTTTGTAAATCTAAAATTAATACGATAATGTCTGTAGCTATTGTAGATATTAATTATGTTTAACATTTTTAATGACACTAATGCATAGAATGGTTACCTGTTGTAAATATAATTATTTCACAGTTTAAAAGGGACCTAATAACTTTTATAAAGGGATTAAACCAAGTTGTCTGGTAACATCTGTGAATATATCCAGCTTTTATTGGTAAAAATGTATTAATTGTATTTTTTAATCACACTTGATTAAAACAGTCTGCAGAAACACTTTGATTGAGATTCTCCCTTTGTACGTGTCATTAGAGGCGGAAAGCCCCGCCCACTAGTGGCCATCTCAACCTCATTAGCATAGGTCTTGTTTTTGAATCTGCCACTATGTTGACATAGGCATTTACAGCTCCACCCTTTTTTGAAAATTGCACAATCTCATTTGTATTTAAAGCAACAGTCCCCAAAATTACACAAGTAGGATCAAAGCCTTAAAGGGTCAGTTTCTAAGAGTTGTAAAACATTACTTGTGTTGTATTTTGAGCTGAATCGTGTGTGGTATTTTAAACACATACATACTCTTGGGACATCAGAGATTTATTTTACTTCTCTTTTTAAATATAAATGTAATTATTCGCAATGCGTAATTCTCTCATTTAAGCATTTAAGTTCCTTTGTCTTTTTGCTTAATGTCCAGATACTTGTAAATTTGTGATTCACCTCCTTCACCTCTCCACGTTTCAGAACTTTCTGAAACTTCCTATGTGAAATAAATGAAAATAAATACATCAAAAATTAGTGAGCTTAAGAAGTTGGTGCCACTAATGTAATCGACTGTGTTTGTTTTCAGATTCAGGAACAGTTCACAGACCTCAGCCGCTGCCGCACTCCAGCCATCAGAGCTCCGGAGGGGCAGGGCCAGAGGGCGGGGCTTCCTACTGCCTTTCCAGTCGCCATGGTTACACAGGATACTCAGATGCCTTTGGGCCTCATAACACTCACAATAACAACGCTATCAACAATGGACTGTCATCTCAGGTAACTAATGCCCTTTAATAAATCAATTATTTAAAGTGTTATGTTTGGTATATTGCTAGATTATTTTCTATAGCATTACTTATAAGGAGGTCACAAGTGTTTATTTGTTAGAGGGCCATGACTTTAAGCAAAGACTAGAATACACAAGATCTGTCACTCATATAGTATAGCCCCACCCTCTAGTACTGGAGCCAATCAGTAATTGCTATTGACTGAGGATTCTCTGGGTGACGGACTCGAACCAGGCGTGAGTCTATATGCAGATTTTGTGTGATACGAACGTTTAGAAATGAAACTAAAGAGACAAATGTTGTTTAATTTTATTGGCGATTCCTAATATGAAATTTAATCGTAAGCTTAGCAACCAAATTTTAGCGAATTTAATGTTTCCCCATTCAGACAGAATTCCTGAGCATACTGCCCCAGAGGCATTTCAAAGATGGCTGCCGAATGAACTTAAATTTAAATTAAAGGGACTTTGCTTTAAGCAATGATCAAGTCTGTACATTAAACTGACTAATATTATTGCATTATTCGCCTGATGCTGATTTCTATACAAATAATATTCATTTAAAAACTTTTCGCTTAACTTGTGCCACACTTTGTATTAAGCAACACACTTATCATAGATTTATAAGTCAAAATGTCAAAATCATAAAAAACACAGTTAAAATAAAATAATAGTTAAATTGAATTTAAAATTAAATATAATAAAATCTATATTATGATATTTTAAATCTAAGTCTAAAATAACTAAATATTGCATGTGTCCTTTAAATAGCAACATTTTTAGGTTCACGTTTCATGAAACACTATAGACTTTCATTATGGTTCAAAGTATAAACATTATTAATTATATATATATTATATATATATATACTGTATACCGTAATGTGTGCATCAGTAATAGTCACATCACAGGACTTGCTGAATTGGGATTATGATTGACCAGAAGCCATAGTTCAGAACACGGAGTCATTGGACAGTTTTACCATAATGGAGCAAATGTTTACATGTTTTTAAGGCCATTTAAAGGCTTAAATAGGTTAATTGGGTTAGATAGGCAGGTTAGGGTAATTAGGCAACGATGATTTTTTCTGTAGACTATCAAAAAATATATATAGCTTAAAGGGGCTAATAATATTGACCTTAAAATATTTTTAAAAAAAAATTAAAACTGCTTTTATTCTAGCTGAAATAAGTCAAATAAGACTTTCTCCACAACCATATTTAATATTATTGGTAAATATTTTATTTAAAGACTATTTTTTATTTTATCTAATTGATTAATTTAATTTATGTATTACTTTAATTTATTTTAAAAGAATTATTAAAATAATTTATTTTATTTAAAAAAAATTTAAAGACATTTTTTTATTGCTATTTTTCATTCATTTATGATTTAATAGCTGACATATGCTTATCAGACACACATACACCCACACACATGAATTTCAGAGTGTAAATGTTTTAAATATGCAGTTGAAAGTGACTCTCGCTGAAGTTTTGATCCCACCTGTTCAGCTAAAGTTGAGTGTCAGTTTAATGGACTCTTCTGGCTTCTGCTGAAACTATTACACACTTCAAGACAACGCATTAAGCAGATAAATTCCACCATCTCAGGTCATCCACAGGCCATTTTTCACTCGGTTATCTTTCGTTTTTTCATCGGACCATGCAAAAGCAAAAGCCCAGAACACACAGCAACACTATAAGAGGACTGACCTCCACATGTTTCTCATCTGGAAAAGGAGCTCAGCGAAGCCTCAACAGGGGGAGTTTGTCAAAAACACTGACAGACGGCTGTGAATTACTGGACTGATGGATGTGGATGTAGTGTGGAGTGACTGTAGTACAGTATCACACCCTGTCAGTCATCATCCACAGTGGAAAAAGTGAAAAATGGTGTTAAATTTAAAGCTTCCTATAGTGTAAAATTGAGATGGATGTTTTAATATGTGCACAGTCTTCACAATTAGAGACGTTTTTTCCTCGCTGCTGTCGCCACTAGCTTGCATGGTTCGGGATCTGTAGAGCTGCGCATCAATGGATTGCCCTTCAGTGTTTGGACTCTCAGTAGTGATTATTAAACCACAATGAACTGAGCAAAACTGAACTGAACTTAAACTCTGAAAAATGAACTATACTGTTTTAATTTACTATGATCCTAATGTGAAGCTGCTTTGACACAATCCACATTATAAAAGCGCTAGAGAAATAAAAGTGAATTCAATTGAATAGTTCCGAGAGAAATACATTTTCATTTCTCTGCATAAGTTAATTCTTCGAAATCTTCGAGATAATGAAAGCATGCAAGTCTGTAAAATATATAACATTGTTGAAGTGGTTTCTCAATACTACGTTGTGGCTGGAAGGGCATCCGCTGCGTACAACTAGTCTGTGTTTCGTTCTGCTGTGGCAACCCCTGATAAATAAGCGACTAAGCCGAAGGAAAATGAATAAATGAGTGAATGTTGTAATTTTTGAATATTTTAATTAAAATTTAATTTAAATATTATACAAATAATATTTCTTGTTTTCATAATTACTTTTTTTTCCATTTTGAGGACACTGATAATATTTTATTTTATTCCTGCATATTTTACCCAGTAGAGTTTTTTTATTAAAAGTTTTGACAACAATAAATCAGACTTATTGTGTCTGTAAAATCAACTTCTGTAAAAGAATATATTTAAATGAATTAACTCAATTTTGTATTAAGAATTACTTTCCTTTTTTCATTTGTATTAGTTTATTTATTATATTATTATACCCCGTTTTATTTTATTTTATTTATTTTTTGCACATTTTAGTCTAGTGGCTTTTGGATATTTTGACCAAAAAATCGTACATGTTTTGTCTTTAGTATCAAATTCTTTAAAAGAAAATAATTTCACTCATTCATATTATGATCACCAGCAGTATTGTTCTTGCAGTGCTGGAGAATGCTCACATTCAACTGCACTACAAATCCCATCATGTACTACACTCACACAGCAGTTCCTGATTCCTCCTGATTACACACAAACAGAACAGTAGACCATTTATGGATCCAGCAGTATTAATTTTTTTAGTTTATGGAGCAGCCTAATTATTTTAAGGGGGGGGGGGGGGGGGGGGCACAGGGGGGGGCACTGTTTTTGGGGGGGGGGGGGGGGGTGGCGGCACAGTGGGTGGCACTGTCGCCTCACAACAAGGTCGCTGGTTTGAGCCTCACTTCAGTTGGCATTTCTGTGTGGAGTTTGCATGTTCTCCCTGTGTTCACATGAGTTTAATCTGGGTTTCCCCCAAAAGACCAAAGACATGCGCTATAGGTGAATTGAGTAAGTTGAACTGTCTGTGAATGAGAGTGTATGAGTGTTTCCCAGTGATGGGTTGCAGCTGGAAGGGCATCCGCTGTGTAAAACATATGCTGAATAAGTTGGTGATTCATTCTGCTCTGGCGACCCCTGATTAATAGAGGGACTAAGCCGAAAAGAAAATGAATTAATTAATGATTTGGGAGGATCTGACGTCTGACATTCAGGGGATTCGGGCAGTGATTGTGGACATGCAGCTCAGCTTATGGTGATTTAAGAAGCTCAGGAGCAGGAATCAGAACAGAAGCAGGACAGAAAGCCATCTTGGGTGCACAAGCCCTGAAACCTGTGGGCATTAGATAATATTTCTTTATTTTTTTTAAATAAATTAAATGTAGTTAAATTAAATCTAATAATTTAATTCCTGCATATTTTACCCAGTAGTGTTTTTTGGATATTTTAATAAAAAAATAGACTGCTGGAGAACACTCACATTCAACTGCACTATAAACCCCTTCATGCACTTCACTCACACACCAATTCCTGATTTCCCTTGATTACACACAAACAGAAAAGCAGACCTTTTTTGGATCCAGCGGTATTCATTTTTTAGTATATGGAGCGGCCTAATTATTTTTCCGGGGATTCAGCGCCCACCATTTGGGGAATTCTGGAGCATCTCGTGACTGCCAGTCGGGGGAAGAAAGCCATCTTGGGAGCTTAAGCCCTGAAACCAGTGAGCATTAAGACTGGGAGTATTGAGGGCACCAAAGCAGTCCTTCCCTTTGTGTGTAATCAGGGGGAATCAGGAACTGGTGTGTGAGTGAAGTACATGATGGCATTTGTAGTGCAGTTGAATGTAAGTGTTCTCCAGCAGTATACAAGATCAACACTGCTGGTGATCTTAACATTCATTATTGTATTCATAATTACTTTCCTTTTTTTATTTTGAGGACATTGATAACATTACTTTATTATTATTTTAAACTAAATTAAACTAAATAAAATGTAATTTTATAATTTAATCCCTGCATATTTTACCTTTTTTTGTGGATATTTTAATTTAAAAAAATCATACATAATGTGACTTTAAATGAAATATAGAAAAGAAAATATTTTTTTTTACACTAAACTTTTAAGCTTCAAATGATAAAGTTACACATAAACTAAAGTTAAATAAAAAAGTTAAACTCATAATTAAGAACCTCTTTAAATCTACTAAAACATCTGCAGAAAGAGCTTGGTAAACCCATCTCTCTGTGCTCGGCTGTGGGAAAAGGGTTTAAGCGAGACCATGTGCGTGACCATGTGTCTGTGTTTGCCTGTATCCACTGATGTAACAGGATCCTGTAGCCTGGGAGACATGCTTTCTCCTCTCTCTTTCTATGTAAAGGTGCTTATTTGGTGCGGCAACTGGAGTATGTGTTTATTTTGGCCATAATTCTGCTGGTAGATTCAATTATGCTTCAGGAACTTTTATTCCCCAGAGCGAACATGCAACATTCCTGAAACGCGGCACAGTGTTTTCTGGGTTATAATAGTAATGAATACACACACCTTAATGCTCGCGCGCACACACAGACATGCATACACACACAGCACTGCCCTCAGGCTTTGTTCTAGACCTAGAATCAGATTAAACAATCCCAAAATTCAATTATTTTTAGCCTGATCAATTGCAGGTCAGCGAGATTTAAACAGATATGCATCTCCATGCATTGTATGTGTGTGTGTTTTAAACAAAAAAAAATGTGTGTGTGTTTTAAAGGCACAACACAAAGTTTTTCTAAAAAATCCCTTTCTGTAACCTAAGAGATTATGTCTTGGTGTATAAAACACATGATGGAGGTGTATAAAAACACTATGAAAACTAAGAAATAAGCTAGAGATGCTTAAATATATAAAAAAAATACATCCCAAAAAATGAAATAAAAATTCATAAATCTTCCACTGACAAAAATGTACAGGAAAAACTATGCTGAAATAAAATAAAAGTAATATTATCTATGTTCTAAACATGATAATTAATAATTCTGAACACAATAATTCAATATTAAAAGCAATAATCCACAAGAAGTCATGGGTTACAGTGAATTTATAACAGCTAAGAAACACATTAACTGTTTTAATTCATTTTAACCATGTCTTCAGGGGCCTTATTGCTTTTATTCATTCATTTAAGAAGCAACCGCTGTGTAAAACAAATGCAACATTCCAGCCGCAACCCAGTACTGGAAAACACCCATACACATTCATTTACAAACACTCATACACTACAGCCAATTTTGTTTACCTAATTCACAAACTGCATGTCTGTGGACTGTGGGGGTACACCCGGAGAAAACCCACGCGAACACGAGGAGAACATGCCAACTGACCCAGCCGGGACTTGAACCAGCGGCTTTTTTTGCTGTGAGGGGACAGTGCTAACCACTGAGAGACTGTGCTGCCCCTTATTGCTTTTATAAAACATTAATTCTATATAGGTAGCATAATTTGACAAAATAAAACAAAGCAAATTAAACCGTTTCTATAGCTCAGTATCAGGGTATTTTCAGGAAGCCAAAGGGTAATTTCAATACCCTTTTAAAACCATCTCAGAATATTTTAAGACCTCATCGCCACTTCAAGTTCTAATCAGTATCAAACCTTTCACTTAATAAACAGTAGTTAATAAACAATGTAGTTAAATAAATCAATGGAGTACAACCGTGCAACAGAACTCAGATAAGCTCAGAAGAAACAAAGCTTAAAAGAATAAATTACACAGCTGTTTTCAGCGAGAGGCTTCAGCCACTATTTAAACTCGTCTTTCTCCAACCAGGAGTACGCAAACTTACATTTCTCATTTTGCCGTCTGTTTGGGTCTATGGTTTCGCTACATGCGAAGAGCGTCACATCAGTTACCCACATTTGTCGTAAATTACATCTCATCACCTGGACGAAGGAGCTTGGCCGGATGCACCCCGGCCCAAACCGATCGCGTGGATCGAGCCTGCCGTTGTTAATATTAAGAGGAAAAAATCTAAATATTTATTCCTTTTTTGGAGTCAAACACTTTGGACAAAGCTTAAACAAAATTTAAGACCTCGTAAAAATGTGATTACGCTTTTTATACCTTTTAAGGACCTTAATTTGCTCATAATAGATTTATCAACTTTTAAAACTTTTTAGAGTATTCAGAGTATTGAAGGCGGAATGGTTGCCAAGCAACAGCTGCAGGTATATATACAGTAATTTACAACAGCTTTGAATGTGGCTCAACCAATCAAAACTAAGGAAATGAATCAATGAACCAACTATGATATATTTTTATTCTGTGAGATATATATATATATATATATATATATATATATATTGCAATATGAATACAATTTCTTTAGATGAGTTGAAAAACAGTTTGAAATTTTTAATTTTAGATTAGGATGATTCTGAAGGGAAGAGCATAAGATATAATAAACAATTCACAGGCATAGATGACTAAATACTAAAACTAAATAAACAGTGTTTTATTGTTTTCCGAAGAGTCGAAATGGATTCAGGTAATTGATTAATCAAATGTAAAATAATACTGTAATAATAAAATAAAATGATACAGTAAAATAATGATAATAGTCTTCAATTTAAAAGCAATTCAATAAAACTAATAAAATTAAACTTTTCAAAGGTACAAACGGTACATTTTCTCATGCCAGAATGCTTTTAAAACCCTCACACAGTAACAGGCCTCAGAAAACACTTGCAACATGATCAATTATAACACAGGCTCAACATTACATATACATGTGATGTGACTATTGTGAATGATCACACTGTGATATCGACGCTGAAATGATATGTACGATTTGTTAAACAACACAAGCTAAAGGTAAATGCAGCATCTAAAGAATGTTTTCTCCACAACCAGCAGATTGTGATCCTGGTATATCAAAAAACAGTAATATGATAACTGTGGTGTTTTCTGTGTAGGTGATGGGACTGATAACTCCATCAGGAGCATCTCATCCTACTCAAGCTGAGTTTTCTCTGGATTCGGGCAGCTCAGTCAGCAGCTCTTGTTCTCAGCGAATGGAGTCTCTGTCCAGTTTACCTGCGCTCTCTAACCTGTCCAATCCGCAGTCCTACAGCTCAGCCTCTTTCTACAGCCTGGAGCACAGCGGACACTACCAGTACAGCCAGTATGGTCAAAGTAAGGTCATTACTACTGACAGCATACTTCATCCTCCTCAGCTGCTTCATAAACTACTAGTTTGTGTTTATGAGGTCCACAAGCTCTTATTGCTGTAGTGTATGCGTTCAGTTTTGAAAAAGTCGGTTCACCCAAAAACTAAAATATTGCCTTGTTTTATTTTTGTTACTACATTTTTTTTTGCAGTTGAATAAAAAAGTGAATGTTTTGAAGAATGTTGCAAACCAGTAGCTATTAACTTAAGAAAAATAATACTGCCAATGTCACTGGCGACTGGTTTGCAACATATTTTCAAATTATATCGCAAGATATTTTCAAAATATTAAATTTTTTTTGTGTTCAGTAGCTGAAGATTCAGAACAAGTAGATTAGATAATGACAGAATTTTTTATTTTTGGATGAACTATCCCAATCATCAATAAACATAAATGAAATAAAGACCAAATAATTAAATAAATGTTCAAATAATATGACAGCAATATGAGCAACAAGTAGTTCAGAAAGCATCCTTGCTCACTGACAACTCTTAAAACACAAGTGTGTGTATGTGTGTGTGTGCATGTGTTTGTGTTTATATTTGTATAATATACTAAATTTAAATTATATGTTTATTTAAATGCAAATATATATAAAAAAATTATTTTCCTTGGCTATGGCTGTTTGACCATCTTTTAAATTTTGTGCATACATACTACAAATTTATAAACATGAATATTTATAACACCCATGCAAATTTTTACACAGCTAGATTTATTGAATATATAGATTAATAATAAAGCTTGAAAATTTTGTTTTATATATTTTATAAATCGGCATACAAATATTTTGTTAAAAAAATATTGATACTTGGCAATAGAGTATTAATGATGTATCACAGCTGTATATATAGCAGCAATTTGGCATATTAATATTTTGTCCCACCGCTAATATAAAGTGTAATAATATCAAGTAATAATATCACATTCTGGACATCATCTTCCAGATATAAAAAAAAATGTAATGGTTTATTTCTTATTACATATGTGAGTCTTTCAAGAGCTAACCATGCTATTACGTTTCTTAGTACATATATATATAGTATATATATATATATACATACATACATACAGTTGAAGTCAGAATTATTAGCCCCCCTGAATTATTAGGCCCTGTTTATTTTTTTCCCCTAATTTCTGTTTAACAGAGAGAAGATTTTTTTCAATACACTTCTAAACATAATAGTTTTAATAACTTCTTTCTAATAACTGATTTCTTTTATCTTTGCCATGATGACAGTAAATAATATTTTTACTAGATCTTTTTCAAGATGCTTCTATACAGTTTAAAGTGACATTTAAAAGCTTAACTAGGTTAATTAGGTTAACTAGGCAGGTTAGGGTAATTAGACAAGTTATTGTATAACGATGGTTTGTTCTGTAGACTATTGAAAAAGAAATTAGCTTAAATTAGCTTATATATATATACATACATATACATATATATATACATATACATATATATATATATATATATACATACATATATACACACACACACACACACACACACACACACACACACACACACACACACACACACACACACATACATATAATTAGCCTCTGGCATTATAGGTGGGCATAGATTAATTTTTTTATCTAGATTAATCTCACTGTAATCTTGGAATTAATCTACATTAAAATAGCTCATTTAAATTCTGCCGAAGGCATTCAGAATGTATCTGCAACCCAAATAATGACTAAAAGTAATTCTTTGAGAACGGGTTTCTCAAGCTAGGTGGCGCATTGGACCAGGGGCTCATCTCCTGTCTCCAAAATGCATCACAAACTGCTTGAGAAACTGTTCTACTATGATAATGGGTGAAGAAAATAAATGATGTTCAATAAGAGGTCCTTGTGTTTGCTAACTGTTTATTCAGTTAAACATGAATTTTGAAGTGCAATTCGGCCAGTTATACATTCGAGCTAAAATATCAAGGTAAAATTCACCATAGCTTGCCTAAAATAGACCCAGCTCCCAACCCAACTTTGAGAACAGATTAACGGCAATTTCTTTTTTTTATTGCCCGAGTCTTGCATCAATGCAGCACGTTAATGCCTATATATATATATATATATATATATATATATATATATATATATATATATATATATATATATATATATATATATATATATATATATATATATATATATATATATATATATATATATATATATATATATATATATATATATATATATATATATATATATATATATATATATATATATATATATATATATATATATATATATATATATATATATATATATATATATATATATATATATATATATATATATATATATATATATATATATATATATATATATATATATATATATATATATATATATATATATATATATATATATATATATATATATATATATATATATATATATATATATATATATATATATATATATATATATATATATATATATATATATATATATATATATATATATATATATATATATATATATATATATATATATATATATATATATATATATATATATATATATATATATATATATATATATATATATATATATATATATATATATGATGCCAGAGTATCGATAATGTATTTCATTTGGAAATATCACGATAAAATGACATATCGATATTTTGTCCGACCCCTAATATGGAGTGATATCACCTCTCGGATATCATTGCCCAGATAAATATATTTATTTCTTATTACATATGTGAACCTTTCAAGAGCTAACCATGCTATTAAGTTTCATAGTCTTAGTCCAATGGAGGTACACTAACGTTTTTTTCCAATAGTTAACAAGCTAAACAAATATCATCTGTTTTTCAATTGAATCTATCAGCCAAAAACTATGCCACAGTAATCGCTGTCACTTTTAAAACCGTGACTGGTGACTTTACGAATAATGACAATTTATGCAACGCCACCCCAAAAATTGACCGCCGCTCACAAACCCTGCAGTTTATGACCTCAGCAGATACTAACGCACACATCAGAGGCTGACGTTTAGTTGCGAGTGATTCGCAGAGCTCTGATACTGTAATATCTGGAGCGGGTTTGCGTGTGTCAATGTCACGGTTGGATGCTAATCTCCTGTGGCAGAATCAGGATGAGAAGCAGCTGCTCATGATCCAGCGGCTCACATCATGGCCTGTACAGTTACTCTCTGATGAAACGGCCAATGCACAAACACTGCAGCTCTTTAATGAGTCTGAGGATCAGCCTTCGCTTGTCTGATTACTGCGCCAAATCAACCGCACATGCTCGCTTTTGGAGATCAGCGGCTGGAGGAACTCATGCAAAGATCAGCGGAGTTAAACATTACTAAATATTGATTAAGATGCATATTATGTTGTGAGTAATTGATGGTGGACTGATGAGTTACAAGAAATAATGTGAAGCTTATTCTGCTTATAAATAGGGATGCACTGAGATGAAAATTCTGGGCCGAAACTGAAGAGTGTGGATGCAATTGATTTGTCAGGTTTTTGTCCTAAAATAATGCTCCTGTGTGTAGCACTAGTTTCTTACACATCATATCCAAAGCGTGTTGTGTTTTGATCTGATTTTCTGACTGTCGTAGCTGTGAAATCATTCAGTGTAGTGATATGGCACTGCTAATGCATTCAAAACCTGCTGGAACTCTTTTAGTTGTGCATTTAGCTGCAAGTAACAACACACTTTAGGATGCTCAGCTTATCAGAATCAAGCAGAACAACCATCAATGGTAAATAATTAATCATTGTACTCTTTTACTTTACTTACAGATTCCTTTCATTATCTGAGACCTGAAATTGCCTGAGTGTATCGAGCAGATGAACAGTCACAAAATCCTGCATTTTCAAAGTTGGAGCTTCACTTTTCTACAGAAGACGAAATAAAGCAACTCAGGCTCTTTGGAAATGTGTACTTCAGCTTACATTGTTGCGAAATGTAAAATACGTTGCTCCGCATACGTTTTGATGCACGTTTTAGACGACAAATCCACTAGAGGGTACTAGCTACAATTTTGTAAATCTGAAATACATTACTTGAGGTGTGTTTTGATAAATGTTTCACACCATCAACACTGTTGTTTAGTTGTAGGGCTGGGCGGTATGAAAAACATTTTATTTTACGATATGTAATAGTTTATTTCACAGTAACAATATATTTCACGATATAGTTTTTTTTGTAAAGTTAGCTATTCCAGAGTATGTACAAAATGGCTTATTTATATAATAAATAAGCTTGAATATTTAGGAAAAGGACATATGCATATAGTTTGTATTTTATTTTTAACCTTATAAATATAGTAGACAAAATATGACTTTAGATTAGCAACAAATTCAACAATTTTATGTGGACAGACGTTAGTATTATTATAAACATTTTTTATGTAATATTAAATATAAATATGTGTATATATAACAAAATATAAATGTGTATAATATAAATATACAAATATAAACACTTATCGCATATATGAAACAGTTTTTCCTTTCGAAAATACAAAATATGAACTAATACAATTATTGTATAATATTAAAAACTAAGTGATCACTTCTAGTTGAAAATATAAAGCAATCTTTCTCAGGCCCTGTTTACACTAGTGCGTTTTAGTTTTAAAATGACGTTTTAGAATGAAAACGATCCGTGTCCACACTAGCGTTTTACCCAGTGTTTCTGAACAGCTCTCCGTCCACACCAAAACGCTGAAAACGCAAATCACGTGACCACACACACACTCTCAGGCAAGCGCTGCAGCCAATCTACCCAGATGAGAGCTCTGCTCGTCAGACTGCTCAAGCATCTCCCGTTGGATCTAATCTCACCATATTTATTAAACGAGATATAGAAATTATTCTTGTTGTCCATATCTAATGACATATTCCCCGACTTTGGTCATTGGAATCGATTACTTCGGTAACGTGTTTTGGCTGAGCGCAAAGATAACTTGATGATTAATGTAACCACGTAGCCTACATTCCTCATATTGACTGATCGCTTGCCTTTATTTCCTATAATATATAAACTTATTGTATGTTATACTTTTATAATGGTCATTATCGATTGTTAAAACTGATATTCAGCAATAGAGAGGGTATGTTTTGTATTTTCACTGAAAATGAAAGGAGGCAGTTGTTATAGGCTCCGTTTTGCTATAAATATCCACACAGTGAAGATGACGCTCATATATGCAGCACGACGCCTCAACATTTCTGCTGTCTGTTAAGTTGCTAATATCAAAATGAAAATAGGCAGTTCCTTAAATTATGTTTTCATTTTATTGTTGAGAAAGTGAAACAACGTAGCCAGGGTGATAGGAATGAAGTTATTATGTACACTGTTCCCTTTTAAGATTTACCCGTGTCCTCGGTATTCTGTTTTCCATATCAAACTGAGGAGGGGGAGACTGCAGTCTTGATCAAACTGTCGAGGTCTTAACTTACAAGAAGAGGATGCAGGACTGAGCTGTGTGTAATGTTAGGCTCCTTAATATTGAGGAAAAGCCCCAATCACATAGGCGAATGACAGCAGCCCCGCCTCTGTTTTCAGATGTCTCTGTTTTCCCCCATCCACACTGAGACGGAGCAGCAGCACTTTAGAATAAAAACGGCCTCTCCAGCGTTTTCGAAACGCTCCGTTTTCGGCGCTCGAAAACTCCGGCGTAGTGTGGACAGATGGCGTAACCGTAGCAAAACTTATGCGTTTTAAAACAAAACGCATTAGTGTAAAGGGGCCTCAGCCTCTCGCATACACCATGTGAGTTGGCCAATGGCCACGCCCACTTATTTACATTTCACATAATAAACTATTATTTTACGATACCGTCATACCGCCCAGCTCTGTTTTGTGCTATTTAGCTGCAAGAAAAATAAATAACCATTATTTATCGATAACATTTCACTGTAAATATCATTAATGAGCAAAAGAACATAAAGTTATTAGCGTAATGGTGCCCCTAGTGTTCATTTACCTAGAAAATGCAATATATTTTTGCAATTTTACAAAAATGTAGGTTGAAAGATGTATTTCCAGTGAGCCGGTGTTGAAAAAGACGAAGATCTACAAAACTCTTTGACTCTGCAAGAAAAACGAAGCATTTATGCCACTGGATGGCACAGCCTGAAAGATCAAAAGAGCTTTTTTTATCTAAAACATTCCCTTGAACTCTTCTTCAAAAGCCCTTCTAGCAGAATTACCCACAATCCCAGAAAACACAACAAGACAAGCTGAATCAAAACAAGAAAAGGAGACATTTCACTGAGAAACATGTTTAAGTGCAATATGAGAAATAGAAATGCATGGCCACAGTCATACTATATTCGCATTTGCAGATCTTTGTAATTGCAACTGTTCCTATGATGCCAGATTAAAACACTGTGATGCATACACATTTTTTAAAAGAAGACACACTATAAAAAAATACATAAATTTTCTGTATTTTCTAATTCATTTTTTTTTGTTAATTTTTTATGCTTTTAATTTGCATTGTGAGACTTTGAGCTTATCCTCCAACAACTTTTGATGTTGAAAAGTTTGAAAATGTGATTTTTTATTGACTTTTTCTTATAGTTTTAAGTTGGGCTGCACCATATTGGAAAAAACTAAAAATATTTATTTTTCTCTGCGTATTTTGCAATATTAAGTATAAAATAAACATGAAAAGAATATCTGTATTTGGAAAAAATGAATAATTTTGGATAAATGTGGAAGAAAATTGGATGATTTTGAAGAGGAGCGCATCTGCATAAAACCTAACAAAGCAAATCACAAGCAATGATAAAAATTAAATAAATGCTTTATGGTTATTCTGAGAGTCTAACCGTATTCAGCCACACAAATTAAATAATTCAATGTAAAATAAATAACACTATAATCTTCATTGCAAAGAAGTTACTAAACTTTAAGTGAAGTTACAAACTATTTTCGAGAGGAGCATGTGATATGATAAGATCGTGACCCGTAATCAGCAATAATCCAATCAGATTCGTTAAGTTTACAATAAATAGACTGATTTCGCCCTACTACCTTATCTTCGTTTGGAAGAATCCCCCCTTCCACCCCATCTCCTCCTTTTCCTCTCTTTACCAGGGGGAGCTCTCAAGACCTACCTGATCTGGACTCATGCCAAACCTGCTATTACTGTAGCTTCAAGCATATTTAAGTGTGAACTCTTGAAACTGGCTTGAAATGCGTGCACAGTTACAGGCCTTAATTATAAATTAGTTTGGTAACTTTATGGTTAAACTTTGCAATTACTCCACAACCGGGTGTGTTTTTAAGTCCTGCTCAACAATAATCCTAATTTGACATTGCAGATCCTGCGATCTGACTATTGCGAATGTGCACATCGAGATATCGATGCTGAATTGATATATTGTGCAGCCCTTGCTTGAAGTGCTATACTGTATTATCTGGGTCAGTGTTGTAAATTTTGATACAAAAACCTGGTAATAAACCGGAGCATATTTTTCTGTTATTTTACAGACTTAATTCTTTATATATTATTTCTTATACATTATATGATTTTAAACTACTAAAATGTCAATGAAAATCACTTTAAATTGCACAGTTGAATTTTTAACATCAAAAGTGGACAGAGTAGATACAAATGTCCCATAATCTAATTCACAACCATAAATAAACAGAAAAAAAATTATCATGAAATATAGAACCTGTTAATTATCGGCTATTTTAGTGCATTTTTATAGTTAAAATTATTTTTTTCTCATACATTCCTCGACATATAAATGATGGCTTTCATTTTTATAGAAAATTCTACAATATTTAGGAACTTATTTACCTACAAAATCTGTTAATTTCACTTTCAGAAGTAATTCCAACAACATACAGCTATAAAAAAACAAATTAAAAGTTGAAAATATATTGACCTTATTCTTTGTGTACGAGCAGGTGCAGACATCTGAATCTTTTTTGGCTCGAGACTTCCAGTCTCAATCACTTCCTTTCATTTTTAGACATAAAAACAGCTCGTTCTGCTGCTTGATGCTGCAAACTGATGTTTTCTTATTATATTATATTCTCCTTTTTATGTCTAGTCATGAACACACTTGTTTGTAGAGGAAGTAGTTTGATTGTTTTCCGCCGTTTATTACTCCTAGTCATTTCTTCCATAGGAAATTGAATCAGAAGTTCTAAAACAATCGCATAAAGGAGTGCACTTCCGCATTGAAGACTATAGGTTCAATTATGGTTATGTGTTTTTTTTCTTAAATTAAATGTTGATCAAAATATGATTTTTGTTTTATTTTGTAAACTATTGATGACATTTCTTCCAAATTTAAAATAAAAATGTCATTCGGAGAACTTGTTTCATTGCATAATATAAAAAGATGCCACTCAAACATGTTTATTTTCATTTTTGCAACATACAGTATACCACTGATTAAGAAATCAATATTGCGTTAATCACAAGAAACAGAGAATTTCAAGTGGTCTCTCATTTTTCTTTAGCTCTAAACCGCTATTTGGGGTATTAAAAAAGGTGCACGTTTTAAATTTTTACATTTAATTACATTTGCTTTTTTCAGATTTGATATTATCTGATATTAAGATTGCAATATAAATCTGCCCGTCCTCAAAATACTCTTCAAAAACTATGTAATCTTACCAAAAGCTCTCAAAAATACACGTCTGCAAGGAAGTTTTTCTTAAAAACTCTGAATGTCTTTTGTATTTATTTATTTTGTATGTGTATGCGAGTCTTGTATTTGTATCCTACAGATGTTTTGACTAATTAAAATGTTCAATAAACCCTGTTCATGTGTGTATGCGTGCTTTCGATTTTTAAGTTTTGAGAAATTTGGGAGAATT